GTTTGGCTTCCTGTCCAGGGATTGTACTGCCCAGGACGTACAGTCCTTGGAAGGGGGCAGTGTTACGGATTTGGTATTTAAACAGCTTATGTTATTTGAATTGTAAATTAAATGGTTTTATTTCCCACGCAGTGCAGCGGGTGATGAATATTAAAGGAAAGCTAAGCTGGAAAATTCAAAATACATGAGCGCGGGCATTTAACATTTAATAAATACCATAATTTACGGAAAAAAGGCCGCATCGGCGTAAACGCAGCACTCGAGAAAAATGACAGAAAAAAATTAAAATTACACAGAAACGCCACAATAGATTAAATTGCTCATGACATCGTCGTTGGCTGTATAGATGTAAAATCACAAACTAAGTCCTGATATATGACGTATCAGTTAAGAAAAATACATGAAATGAAACCATAATTCAAAAATAAATTAAAGGGGAGAAATGTTGAAAATATATTTACGTTCACGTATATACTTATATTTACCCACTAAAGAAGTCCATATTTGTAATACTCAGACTATATTATAAAAAATGTTGCAACAATGAAATATTAAATTTGAATGACAAAAGGAAATTTTAAAATTTATTTACAAAAGGAATTACAGCCATCCAAATCTGATTCTTCACTATCCGAATTAAAAAGATTTAGTAAATCCTGATCTAAGTCCAAGTCTTCCAGATCGTCACATTCATCCTCTTGGTTTACAGTCTTTTATCTAAGGACATAATTTCAGCTTCTTTGAACCCTGCTATTATTGACGATGTTTTTATCGATTTCCACGCACTTCCTACCCGCTTTACAACTTCTTCATAAGATGTTCCACGCATTTTACCGCTTTTGGTATACGTATGCAATCCTTCATTCATCCAACACTCCCACCGCTTTCGGACTTCAGCTTTGAAGGATTTATTACCTGACAAATCTAATGGTTGTAAGATTTTTGTCAAACCACCAGGAATTATTGCTATGGTCGTAGACAATTTTTGACATCTGGTTTTCACTGACTCAAATAAATGAGCACGCATGGAATCCATTCTTAATAACCCTTTTGGTTGGAAAAAGGATCCCTTACAACACTGCCACTTTTTGTAGCCACTCATGCATGATTGTTTCGCACATCCTGCCATTCTCGTTTGCACAAATAATTATGTCATCAGAAAAATATCCCTTCAAAATAGTCTTTTGTTTAAAAATGATCATCGGCTTTAGCTTGTCACCGTTTGCGGCACAAGCTAACACACATGTGAATCACGTTCTTTCATGCCCCGTCGTAAGCACAGGTACAGTTTTTGCACCAGTTTCATCAACAGTTCTGTTTTCAGAACAGTCAAAAGCTAACGCTGTTTCATCCATATTTATTATTTGTGTCACATATTTTAGAAAAGGTGCCTTTTTATCCTGCCAGTCCATTGGTAATTGTTGCCCGACTGTTGTTCTAGTATGCACAGAAATATTTTTTCTTTTCATAAATCTGCTGCACCAGCAAGGACCTCCTTTGAAATCATTTATGTTCGTTTGTTTTGCTATAAATTTTGCTTGTAAGCGAATTTTTACAGTCGAAATTGCTATTCCCTTTCCTTGTTGCTCCTTTATCCAGTTTGCAAAGTCATCCACTAGATTCGGCCACCTTACAGTACCACTTCTTTTGGCTCGTTTCTGTTGTGGCATATTTTAAGTTCTTTTCAGTTCTCCAACGTCGAATACATCTCTCTTCCACTTCAAACTCTCGAGCTGCTGCTCTATTTCCAATTTGTTCAGCACGTGAAATTGCATTAAGCTTAAAACCAACAGTATAGCTTCTGCGCCGTTTAGGTGCCATTTTCAAAATTTTTCCTCTCCCTTCTTACTTAAAAACTATCCAATAAGCACTTGTACCCAAACTGATGGGATATGTATCTGGCAGAATGCGAAGAAAAATCGATTCATGCTTAAGAGGAAATATGTCAGAGTTTGTTATTGCGAGGCAGGATGGAGGTGTGCCCGCCTTTGAAAAAATTGCAGTAGATTTATTACAATAGAAAAGGCAGGAGGGGTGGGGAAGAGGATGGGTCCTGGAAGATTCATTGAATGGCAGAGGAGAGAGACTATTCAAACTGATGAAAATGTTGATTTGAAAGGGGGAAGAATGTTATTGTTCTGAGATCCCGTATAGCTTGAATAAGGCATATGTAGATCCGTTCAAGAGAAGAATGTAAACAAAATAACGTTCGCAAAAAGCAACTGAGTGGTCTTTTGTGTGGGAACAGCACCAGTCTATGTACGATGACAAAGCCATCCAAACTATGTGCAATGACCATCATAGGAAATATTTTATTTTTAGTGCACCCAAACGCCGCTCCCGCTGAAAATTTAAGTTTTAAACACGTAAACGCCGTGGCGTTTCTTCCGGAACTTCTAGAAAATACTAGAAAATTCTCGCATGCGATTTTAAAATCTTATAAAAGGAGGAAAATCTCTCAGTTTGTAGTAGTTACTTACTTAGTTTGTTGTTGTTTTAAGAGTTTGTTTAGAAAACTGCTCTTGTTGATTGTAGCGAATTCGCGGATTAGCTTTGTTTAGCTGTTTTGAATTAAGTTCTCTTGAGCGTTTGAGTAGTTAGAAGATACTACTGTGATATATTGTGATACTGCATGATTATTTGAGGACATTTAATCATATTTGTTGTGATAATAATAAATTTTCTTCATTTTTCATCGGACTTGTGCATTCATTTCGTAACGAATCCGTACACACGCAACAATATTTTGCTTTCTTACTTTCATCTTAATATCATCTTAATGAATGTAAGTTTATGAAAATACAGACTAAAATAAGTAATTATACAAACTCAATTAATAAATGCTGTTTAAATACCGGTCTTCATGTCAGATCTATAAATCCTGCACCGCTCAGAGGTTAAAAATTTTAGGAATTGGCATTAATCATAGATTAAACTGTTTTCCTTTCCTTTGTCAATTTCTTTTTCTTTGCTTGTGAAATCATTCATTGGACATTCTTCTACTAAATAAAATCACTGGGATCCTCCTGCCATTTTGATTCCATTAAATATTGAGCAGAGCAATCTCTGCAATACAGATTGACTGGATTTAATATTTCTGGAACATGTCTCCAAAGTTATTTAAAAATTAACTGTCTTAATTTCTTCTACTCTGTTATGAACAAATAATTCCCATTCTTCAACATTTTATACTCACATTAGTATGGTAGATGAATTGATTCAGAAATCAACTTTATAAGGTGTGAATTCTTTCAAAATATTTGAGCAAGATGTGCTGAAATTATAGCTGCAAGTAGTTCTAAATGTATTGTTGTGGTTTCTTTGCTTCTCACCGGGATCTAATCTCACTTTTCAGATTCATAAAATTCATTGTCACATCTTCATTTTCTTTAGAATGAAATATTTCTTTTCTAACTCCTCACATTCTAATATTTGTTTTGCTTTCATTTCAAATAGTTTTAATTTTGAAAGCTGTTAATCCTTCATTAAAATGCTTTCAGCTTTTTCATTTAATGCTTTAGTTATATTCTGAGCATATTCAGCTTTCAACACATCTAATATAAACAAACAAACAGCAACAAAAAAGGAAATGTAATTTACTCACAAGTAATCTTCCTGCGCTAAAAGGGAGATTCTTTTATTGAATCAATTCAAATCAGCATAAACATAATAAAGAAAATCTCTAATGCATATAATCAAAAAAATCGGTTAAAAAAATCTAATTCTAAACATAATCAACAACTCCATATAGTAATTCATTGCTGCTGCCATAGCATGAAAAGTAATTATTGCTAAATGAAGATACAAGTGCTAACATACTATGTTAGTATTTATCAATCATTTAACAAGTGTTACTCTGTTATGAATTTCAGGAGAGATATTATTCTCTCTATTAATTATGAAGCCAAGGTATATGAGAAACTCAATAACTTCAAATTTATGTTTATCAGTTTCTGACAAAGAATTATGAAACTTTGACTTAGTGCATGACATATATTTAGTTTTCATTTGGTTGATGCTAAGGTGCATTTTAATTGCTTCATCCTCCAGTAAGAGAAATGCCGATTTGGGTACATATGCAAATGCAAAATCATGAACTGATTTGTGAAAAATACCTTAGTATTTATTTTTGAATCGTTCATAATTTTTTTAAAGAGCTAAATTAAAGAGGAGACAAGCTAAAATGTTAGTGCAGTACTCTTTATACTTTGTTGCTTTACTGTTTATATAATTTCAATAGGAAATTTTTAATGCTTTTCATTTCAGAACTATAATTGATTATTTGTATCATTTTCTGAATATCATTAAATAATGTTGTAAAAGTTATAATATTATGATTTGAAGTACTTATCTTTCATTAATGTAAAAATACATAGATTTTGTTAACTTTTATTTTGTATGTATTCTTGTGTATTTTATTATATGTTCTTCTTCTCTCTTTTATTTATTTCTTTCCCCCCCCCTTTTTTTTTCTTTTATTTAATTATTTTATTTTTTCTTTACTATTTGTAATTTTGTATTTCTTTCTTTGTCATCTTTAGTTTTTATTTATATACTTCCCCCCCCAAATGTCCTGATAATTTTCATGGTATATATGGGTAAAAAATAAAAAGGTATAAAAATATGCAATGATGGATACTGTTCACTAATTATGATTAAATATAGAAATGTCGTACATGCATGTGCTGGTTGAATTTTGTCATATATGTACTCGGAAATGCATCAGAAAGTCAGCTATTCTACTAAGTATTAAAACGAGGGTTACAGATGATCAGAAAGCACCCATTTTCTTAGTTATTTTAATAGTTACTTGGTTATTTTATAAGGCTCCATGTATTTTATTCTACATTAATGTGAAAGATAGGATGCAAAATACTATGAAATTAATAATTTATATAAGTAAAATTAAATATGTAGTTTTTTAATGATTATTAGAAGAGTTATTTTCTTTTATGCATTGTAAAATTGTGTATATTTAAACATATCTGTTTAATATTCAGGTTTTTATGATGATGCTGTATCAGATATGGAAAAAGCAGTGAAAATTGAACCAGAAAATGTGGAGTTTAAATTTGGTTTGAATGAAAGCCTGTTGACATTGAAACACTGTGCTTTAAATGCAGACGAATTATAACAGAAATTTTATTATATATTTTTGTCTTTAATAATATGCAGAAATATATTTTTGTCTTTAATATTTTGTAAAGTCTTTATGTTGCTAAAATTTTAATAAAAACAGGCATAGAACTTTTTATACAATGATATTTTACTGTAAATATAAAAAATAAATAGTTGAATCTGAGCCGCTCTCACCATTAAGGTGGCAGGACATTCTATTCCATGTTTTTTTTTTTTTTTTTTTTTTTTTTTTTTTTTTTTTTTTTTAAGAATTTTGATATCCAAAAATTATTATCGTATTCTGTATTCTTTTCTTTAAGTTAGAAGTAGCTGTCTTGAAAGTATGACTACGATGAAAATTTTTATTGTTTGGCAGCTAACTTCCTGTATTTTACTTTAACTAATAGCTATGATTATTATGACAGTGATGTAATTCAGCACTGAAATGTTCAAGTTTCTTCCTGTAAAATAAAATGTAATAATTATTTGTATCATTTGTATTGATCATCATCTAGTCTATGACTCATGATTGATTTCAGAATAGTGCTGGCATCGACGGAAAGATCTGTTAGGTAAATGAGATTTATTCATAATTACGGGTTTTGCAATTTTCTGGTGGGATAGAATCAGTCAACACAAGTAGATGAACTTATACTGAGGTATTTGACAATGCTAAGTTCTCCAAAAATCTTATTCTGTGGTTTAAATTTAATACAGTCAAAAGTCTTTAATCCGAACTCGTCGGAACTTCGGCGATTCCGGATTATCGATTTTTCCGGATTATAGATCATCAGTTTAAATCTGGTAAGATGGAATGCAGAAATTATAAAATTAAAAATATGAAACCATAATTTATAAAATAAAGAGCAAAAAAAACCTTAATATTTATTTGTTTACTTTATTAAACATTTCTTTCAACGCGCGCATGCGTAAAGCATACATTATGCATAGTCGAAATTAGAAAATTGCCACCAGGAAACTATTTGATGTGTATTCATGATATTTATAATGACGAGGAATTCGATTTAAATCATATCAAAAACGGAGTACTTCGAGATGAAATACTACATTTAGTAAGGAATTATAAAGCCGAATAAAATACAAAGCATCTCCCCTGAAGATGAGGTTAGTGCTGACAAGATCAACATCAAGTTCATTGCGCTGCGCGACGCCCCCCCTTCCCCCGGCAGAGCAGCGTGAAATTGATAAACAGATTTCGGAATGATTAGAGAAACAAAGGATAGGCCTTTAGCCATTTTTTGCAGCAATTCAATTTTTTGCTTGATGGACATCGAAACATGCTATCGCTTTGTACATCCTTTGATAGCTCCAGAATCGGAAATTCTTTTTGACATAATCGAAAGTTCAAGCTTACTTTTATAAAATTGCTCTTACAGTCTGTGAAAAAATAATAAGCCGGATCCAATTTGAAGATTAAGGAACAATGCAATCATCAACATTAACTGAAATAGATAATTAGATAATTTTAGCTTATACTGTTCATTGTACATTAAAAGCGCACGCGAAAACATATTGTGCGCATGCGTCAACGCGGCGCATGCGCAGAAAGATTTTAGCTTTGAGGTCTGGATTATAGATCATTCCGGATTATGGGTGTCTGAATTAACGACTTTTGACTGTATAGTAATATAAAAGTATATGTTTTTCTGACATTAAAAAAGTTTTTTTTAACCTTATAGAGGTATGTCTGCCTCTTTTTTTTTCTTTTATTTTAAAATATGATTGCCCTGACCATTGTGATCTTCATTCTCTGTCATCGTAGGGAACCTATGAAAATTAAGCCGCCTTTTTTGTGGAACCTCTGCTATCCTCCGGAATATAAATGTATCATTGGTCTCTATGCTTTATGTGGAACATGAAAAATCATTAGTCCATTGTAATTTTGTTTGATAAAAATAAATAGATCTTCAAATTATTTCAAGTAACAGCAACAATCGAACTAAAAAATATTGTTGTGTGCATGCGGGTGCTGCAATAAACTGTATTATTAATTGGAGCTGGAGTAGTGATGGTGTTGATTCTTGAGGCATGCTAGTGTTTGCTACGATGTTTTCTCAAAAAATGTAGCTTATGTCTGTATAAAAATGTAGTGAATGCGGCAATGTAGTTCAACTGCCGGACTTGTCTTGGTGATAAATCATGGCACCCACGGTGGAATCAGATGCATCTGCAGTTAGGGTGATCAGCGCTATCTGGTTAGAGGGTGAGTTGCACACTTTGCTGAGTTGCACAGTGTGCTTTTAATATCAGTGAAAACCTTCTGTGCATCATCGGTCCAAATTAAAGGATTTTTACTCATTTAAGCAAGGTTATCAATGGTTGTTGTACTTTGGTATAAAGCAATGGTACTCAAGTGTGTGAAGGATTCTGGTTTTGGATATTGTTTAATTGTATCGACTTTTGATGGAAGAGGTTTGATTCCTTCCTTTGATATTTCATAACCTAAAAATTTAACTTTGCTCAGACCAAACTTGCATTTTGCAGTATTCATGCGCAGTCCATAGTTATCAAGTCTTTGCAAGATTAATTCAAGATTTTTTTTGTGCGAGTTTCAATATTTGGAGAGGCAATGAAAATGTCATCGAGAGAGCAAAATACAAAGTCTAATCCGCTAAGCATTGTGTTCAAAAACCTTTGGAAGGTTTGTGAAGCGTTGCGTAGGCCAAATACCATATAAGGAAATTCAAAAAGTTGTAAAGGTGTTTTGATGGTAGTCTTTGGAATATCAGCTTCATGAACGGGAATCTCTTGGTAGGCTCATATCAAATCTGTAGTTGAAATGGATGGTCTGCAGAGACGTTTTTGCAGCATATAATCAAATTCCTTTTTCACAGCAATCGACTTTTCTTGAGAAAGGTCTTCTGACTTTAAAGGATACGGGGTTACCTTTTGTTTCAATGTAATGCTGCACATTGTGTTCTTTAATTTTATCATTTTTTATGTAGGGTTTAAGAAAGTTAAGAAATTTATTTAGAATGGCTCTATATTGGTTTTGAAAAATATTAGCAATGAATTTCGGAGTCTCACTATTGTTACACAAGCTACCTTTAGTCATCAATGAGGTGGTGCTGACGGTTAATTTTCTATTTTTAATATCGACTACAAATTAAAATGTGAAAGAAAAGCATCTTCCAATGATAGGTTTAATGACATCCACAATGATAAAAAGCCAGTTGAAAGATCTGTGTAGGCCTAAATCCAGTTGTAATAATTTTTGACCATACTCTTTGATTGTTGTACCATTAGCTGCAAATAGCTCAAGCTTAATTAATTTCTTTAATTCAATTCCAATTTCTTAGTTCTTTATTCCAATGGTGGTGGTGGGATAACCGAAATTTCTGCTCCAGTGTCAATTAAAGAATGGCTTGCTGATGTACTGTCACAAATATATAGACATATGAAGTGAACCCATTGACTTTTAGTCATCATTGGAGCCCAGGGATTCAGTTTTCCTGTTTTGAAGCCTGGTATTTGCATAGCAGGTGAACTTGTAAACTCTCTCACCAAAGCGTTGATGAAAATAACAGTTATTTGGGTCCCTGTTATTTTTGCAAGGATTTCATGAATTCTATCTCAAGCTCCATCTATGTGGACTGGAATTTCTATGCTATCTGCAGTACCAAGTTTGATATCTGTTTCTGTAGGTCTTGGGCCATAAATTGTTATCAGATGGTGGAGAAACAATGCAAGCTACATGGGGTGGATAGGGATTAATTTTCCATATTTTGTCAGCCATTGTAGATAGTTTGGACAGATCATCACTGCTTACAGAAAAATGCTCAGCAGGTTATGTGGTATTCATTGCAACCATGATGTTTCCAAAAATTCATCCGGCACTTGCTCAGGCGTCAAGTTACTCATTTTGCAGAGAAGTTGGGATGATTTCTTATCACCCAGCTCTAATATGTTCAGAAGATTCTGAGTTTTTTGTGTTTTCAGAATCGGCAAAAATTTCAATTAATTTTCAATCCTCTATTTAATGGCCCAATATTTGCTGCTGTCTGGAGTTTGGTGGGAATATCAGCGATTTGTGACAATATCCCCTCTTCAATAGAACTGACTACATAATCATATTTTGTTTGGTCAGCTGTAATTCCAGCATTGTGCAACTGGGCTTCGATCTGAAGAAACCATATTTTGGGGTTAAGTTTCCAAAAAAGAGGAACTTTGATGCTGACCCTGGTGCCAGTTGCAGTTGTTGCATTAGTTTCAGTTTGTTTATTTTCATCTATGTCAGTAAAATAAGGCTTAACAGCTTATTTTACTGGCTTAAGCTTTTGTAGTTAAAGATTACTCAGTTAAAAACTTTTTTTTAAGTTCATTAACTTTTAACACGTTTGATGCATTCGGAAAGTTTTCAATAAATTTATCAGCCTAATTGTATACAGTACCACCGACAACATTTTACAATATATAACAAAATTTAATTTAATTTAATAAACTTAATTAGTTTATTAATTAAAATTAAGTTAGTTTAATTTTTTTTTTTTTTTTTTTTAAGTTGACTTATCCATTTCAGAAGTATTTCAGTCCCATGTATGCTGGAAATTTTATATTTTTCAGATGAATAAAATTGATCGAACCAGCAATTCTTAATTTAATCCAAGCAAACACAGAAGCACTGGGAAATTGAAACTAATTCATCATCGCGCTCAGAAAAAAAAAAACTGTGGAACTTTAGAATGGGCAAATAGTTGCTTACAGTGCTGTCCTTAACACATATTTAATAACAGGTGAACTATTTATAACTTGCATAGAATGCCAATGACTTCTCATCGTTTTATAGAAATGTTGTATGTTGTTCTTCCTTCTTACACTTCATAAGTAGAATTGGATCAAATCTGGGTAAAACGGTGAAGTGTCTGGAATGTATGAAAATGCTAAACATTTCTCAAACTCATAAGATTAGTATTTATTTACATGTTTTGCATATCAAATTTCACAAACAGAAAATCGGTCACTGTTTTTTTGTAGTCCATCACAATTATGTACAGGCAAACGCCAAATGTGTACAGAAAAGTGTACTGTTACATGACTAGCTTAAAGCTAGGTTACTATATTTGGCTTCTTATCATGTTTTGTGTTCAATTATAGCCAAGATTAACGTTTCCTCGTGTAATGTAAACAGATATCGAAGATTTTGTTAGGATGTAATATTGTTGTATTCTTCGCTTATTATTTTCTTCTGATGATAATTCAGTTAAATTCACTGATAAAAATTTCATAGAATACGTGAGAATTTCCATTGAAGTGTTCTTTGAAGTAACATTTATTTCCTGCTAAAAATGTAATAAAAATAAAAGAACAACATAATCTCAAATTTTAATATCTCTATTAGCACTTTATGTAATCTTTCGTATCGGCATGAAAAAATTTTGTACATATTAATTTAAAACTATTAAAATAATATGTAAAACTGTCTTTTTGCCCAAGAAAGCTCTGAAACTTTTTAATTATGAAAATACTTACATAT